TATATACATATGTATATATATTTAGCTCGAGTTCAAGTATTTAACCTTCGGTCAAGATTTCGAGGAGAAGTCGCCTTAAGCTGTCGAGGCCGGTTAGGAAACCACAGTCCGGACCTTGGTGTACCATGGAAGTCGAGTTGCAGGCTACCGTAGAACCGTGAACGAAACTCGTATGCGCGAAATCGATCATCCTGACATCGACGCGTGCCTCTTGCCATTTTTCGGACAGAAATTGATTATTTTTACCGTTCCCTACTACACGCGACTACTATTTCAGAAATCTCAACGTCGATCGTTTATTAATTCAACCTGCTGTTTGACACATCGGTACGTTCCAGTCCTCCTCCTCCTCCTCTTCCACCACCACCACATGCAATTCCTCCTTCTATTTTCTCTTCCCTTCCGTAAACATGGAATAATCGGTGTGATGATCCGTGTCTTTGTCTCTTCGATTCAGAATCCGATCTGACGTCAGTATCGGAACTAGTGTCTTCCATATTGTCCGAACTTTGCTCGAAACAAAATTCGTCGCTCGAAGTACCATAAAGCATCCACTGTTCGTATCGGGGTGTTTCAAACACTCTGTCGATCAAGCTGTCCGTAGATTCGACGAAAACAGTCTCCTCGCTGCTGGGATTGTCGGTGCGTGACATACAAGCCGTTATCATCATCATCATCATTATTGATTCGTTAATTTGCTTCTTTTTTAATAGAATCGGATATTATTATACGTAGAAGCACAAAATGTGCTTGCACGGGCTGTGTAAAATGTTCGCTATCGAAATTTACTTATATACGTGTACATAATATGTATCTCTGAACGAAACGAAGACAAAAAAAAAATTTGAAGGGAAATTCAAACAGTTTATGATAAGCGCGCGCGCACGTTTCTTAGGCATGCATAATTCAATTTTCATTTTTTCGAACTGTTCTATCGTTTTATAATCGTACAATCGTTACGCGTACAATGTACTCATACAGACGGATGAATAGAATTTTACACAGCCCTCTCGTTAAATGTCATATTATATCTCTTACCGTCTATTAATAACCCTGAAACTGCCCATGACCCTGTAGGTCATATATATATATATTTTCGAATAAAAGAAAATCTCTCCCTCACACGCGCGCGCATATACAGGATGCAAAGTAAACGGTGCTTTTTCTCCTTTAAAAATATCATCATTATTATTTTCTAATACAAACGGAAATTTCTATACTCTTTCCACCGAGGGTTAATCAAAATGTCGATTGCTTTTCAAAATATGTACCGCTACTGTACTTTCTCCATCTTAATAACTACGTTATCGTTTCTCGAGAATCGATCAATTAAACGAGCCACTTAAGGAAGCATGATTCTGCGTATAAACGAAAAAGCTCACCACTTACCGAACGTCTTGTATACTTGATTTATTTTACTGCGCAATCGTGTTAAAGTAAAGAAGAAAAAGAATACAGAAAAATAAACGGCATACACACATACATACATGGTATATTGTATAGTATATAGGAGTGTACTACTTGGAGAATGTAACGTAAAACGTGGCGTTACTACTGAAAAATGAAAGATCAACGAACTCGTGTGTAATCGTCGTTGGAAAAATTTCACACAGACAGACATTAATTAAATAAATCTATTCCTTTGTCAATACACGCTACATCCTACGAAACATCCTTTCTACGCGTTATGTATAAACGTACACACTTGTATGTATGCGTATACGCATGAAACAACGTAAAATGTCCCTCTAATTCCATTGATTTTAATTCATAAATATTTGTGCCTAATAACTTTTGTAGAGCTGTACTCTACTCATGAGCAGCGATATACCTACGAAAGGATTTTGAAATCCACCAACCACTTTCAGCTCTGATCCTCCCCTAGTAAGAAACTGATCGGGCTCGATTAGGGACTGGTATTGCCGCGCTTTATTATAGATCGGCCGTAATAAAGAGCAGTTTTCTAAAAAGTGACGGTACACAGAAATATACATGCTTAAATTAGGAAAATACCGCACTGTCAGTTCGTTAGTGTAACAAATACCACAGAACCGTACAATAGTAGAAATATTGAAATTATTTGGGTGTAACGAACCCACGTTTTAACCTATTTTCAAATCGTGTATTGTGTTTCAACGAACCCCCCCCCAACCTAACCTAACCTTTAACCTATATTTCCAATTCCCAAACGAATCCTCGAAACAGCTTCATCGCGTATTTCCATACCACCGATCTAATTATTTCTGAAATAATTCCTCACTCCCTTTAAACAATTACACCTTTTCATTTTGATTTGCATCATTTCTGGTTGCAAACGATATATTTCCATTGACGGCACACTAACGTGCTGAAAGTGCGATATTTCCTCTAAACCGGTTTTGCCTTCTTTTTTCATTTTTACATTGAAATTGTAATTGAAATAAGTTTCGAACATATTCGAACAATTGTAAGAACTAACCCTCCAATCTTCTGATGGAGTATGTTACACACACCTTCAAATTAAAACCCGTCGCGTTTTGATCAGTGTAGGTAAGTATCTACCACGGCCTACACATGCTCTTTTACTTTTTAACTCTTACAAAAGAAAACTGATCTTGCCTTTATTTTCATTTAAATTTACTAACGTATCGTTTCGTTGCTCGTTCCTTTACAGACCAATCTAACAGTGCTGGAAGGAATATACTTTACACCACGGTAAAACTTCTAATATGTAATTGGGATTATTGTTTGGTATAACGAAAAAAGCTTGCGTGAGACTAATTCTCTGTAAATGCAATATGTTGGATTTTTATATTTTTCAACTCAAGTAAAAGGGGAAATAGGAGAAGAAGAAGGAAAAGGAGTAGAAGGGGAAAGAGAAAGAAATGATTTTGCGTGTAATGTGATTGTAAAATAATAATTAAAAAAAAGAAAAAAAAGTAACGAAACGCGTATAACCTGATATCGTATAGTCACATACTTCACCAGACAATGTATATTCCGATTCTTATTCCACTGAACGAAGATATCGGAGGGTTAAACGCGAATCAAAATGTTTCCATCTATTTCTACAACTTTTAGAGGTAACAAAGTCTAACAGAAATACGCGATCATTGTATAATCACAATGTACAAAATAAAAAGAGAAATTATGAATTAGATTCCTAGTGTTGTGATATATCAAAATAATGTATACGAACAAATAATAAATATTTGCGAAGAACGAATAAAATGGCGAATCAACGAATACATGTATGTATAAATTAATCGATAATTAAACAAATGCATAAATATGTAAATGATTTTAAATCCTTGATATGACACCACAACATTAGGAATTTCATTCGGCTCCTTCCATACCGAGTCATCGTGAAATACTTCATCCCTTGATTGATGCTTTATTCGATAGCAAAATGTAGTCGAAGAGAATCAAATTATGCATGTACCGGTGCATTTCTACCTTATTTTACTTTCGTACGTTCCTTTAGTTTTTTCTTTCTTTATTTTTTTTTAAACCGTGGAAAAACGCGCGCGCGCCTTACAAAATTTCTATACAAAACAAAAGAAAGAAATGAAAATTTTGGTCCAGAATTCCAGACGAATCGAAACGGAGCAGCCAATATTTTCTTTTTCTGTAAATGTCAACGAAAATCTTTACCCGTTTTAACAGACAAAGGGTAATAGAACACAAACCTTGTGGGGTAAAAATTGCTGATATTTTTAGCTCCTCTAGATGTTGCTTCGTCAAATCCTCTGCACAACGTGCTCGTCGTTTGCCTGATTTCTTCTTCAAGCGAAAGATTATAGTCTGCGGAACTGTTACTTATGTCACCGTCGTAACAACCTTCCGACGTATGAGGACGTTCCTCGACGAAACTAGAATTCCTCGATTCTCCTTCTTCTTGCATTTGTAAAGTATCATCAAATCCCGAAAAATTGATCTGATAACCCTCGTAAACAACTAACAATGAACTGAAATCATTTTAAAACAGAGTTCGGACTAACATTCTAAATGCGATATCCTTATTACCAAGAAATTCAAACATTCGAATCATGTTCTAAATCTCGTATTTCCTAAATTGCAATGTTTCGAATGTGAATTCATCGTTCAAACGTTCAGAGTTTGTGAATATATTCCGATAATATGATGCTTGAAAAGACTTACCATGAATAAAATCGATAGCTACTTTGCCTTTCGATTGCGCGCCGTAATTGTTCTAACCGAGATACTACTTTTTCGATAACCAACGTTCGTAAGCAAAAACCGTTATGAAAAAATCGATATAACGCTGCCTTGAAACCTTCTTCGTTTAACTCTCTGCCCCAATATTTGTCTCTCTTCACATAATGATCGGTATCGACTTGATAAACCTACAATATTCTTTATCTGTATTGTTTAAGTAAAAATCTCCAGATTGTTGTTATCCCTTATGTTCTATTGCTTTATCATCACTTATTCTTTACATTATAAACAGATTTCCATTCAATCAACCAACCAACTAAGTAACAAACCTGCATTCCGCATAGTCTAACACCTAACGAAGCTGATGTACTAGCAGCACATTTTGCAATTTGTTTGCTGCGTTTCTCCGCAGATGCGTCGTCCCCATGTTGTCTGGTCCCCATTTTTAGATCCAATATACACGGATGAGTATACTGTGATGTTATATTTTCCAACAAAAGGAAATCTATTTTTAACAAGAGAAAGTAGTAACGAGAGAAATCAGTAGCAGCGGGACTTCGATTAAATTTCATCATTTTTATTACTCTTTATTTTTATATTTTTTTCCTGGATATTTCTAGCATTTTTAATCCAACCTTTATTATACGTACACTGTCTATTTGATGCATTATCCAAATGCATCCCTGGCTTTAATATTCCTGTTGAAGTATTATCGCGATGAATTTTCATTCTGAAATAAAATAAAATCGCAATAATTCAACTTTATCTTTATTTTACTGATGTAACTCATCTACCAAATTGTGCAATCAACTTGCCTCAACACATCTTCTCGTTTTCTTTTACTTGAACTATGTCCTTGTTGTTGTCTGTTATCCTGTTCCCTAAAACTGGGACTGTAACGTTTATCCAATGTAACTTCACCACTATTTGAAGCTTGCAAAACACCTAAAACGTGAAAAATGATATTGAATTTTTAATGATGATATTCAATCATATTCTTCTGAAATTTTCTGTTGCAAAGAATCCCATTGTTTACAATGTATAGTGATTATAGATTTCTGTTTAAATAATGGAATTTACAGCTCTTTATGTTTCATCATAAATCTTCCATCCCTTAATATACTTAAAATGTACCAACACATATAAAAGACACTAATGTGTCTAATTAATGCTGACCATACTTGTACAAGCACAAATATGTATAGAAGCAAGTAATGTTATGTTTCTACATAATCATTTTCCATATTCTGAACAATTATAATCATAACAAATGACAAAAATGAAAGAAACACAATGGGAGAACAACAAGGGGATTCAGAAACAATAAAAACCATGGTTCTTACCTTTAAATTTTGGGACAAAGATTTGTATATCTTGTGGAATGTTTTGATAAAAGTCAAGTTCCCTGCAGTTTAATGGCTTACAAATAGTGTTCTGGTTGAGTAAAAGTAATCTTGTGTGCCCACCAACCTATAAGAAATGTAAAATGTTTGCTTTGTTAAGGAACTACAAATTTTGTAAGGTACGTGTTCTACTCCAAAATGTACGCGCGTGAAATGTCAATTTTTTTGATTAAACGTTTATGCAACTCTTGTGTCGATTTATTTATTATTTCTACCTATATGTAAGTCTAATTCTTTATAATATAATTAAAATATATCAATATTACGATTCACATATAAGTGAATTTATAAAAATCAAATTTACTCCAAATGTTGCATATAAGAAACGTTTCACTAATTGCATTACGTAAATAAATCCTGACGAACATCGTAGAACATGTCCAACCATTTTAAATGAAAACATAGACAGCCATACTTCGTTACAAATTTTCTACAAACGTACATATACCAACTAGGTAAATCGATGCGTTTTACAATGAACTCAGGTAACGGCAACAACGACAGTGACAATCTTTCAACATCGAAAAAACAAACACCACGTAGTATGATCGCAAAACAAAGTGATGGAAAAACAAGTGGTAATAACGATAACGGAACGTTTGGACATTGTTTGATCGAAATATGGTAATGTAATCACAAACAAAGCAAACCTCACCTGATTCTTAAGTGGCAATAAAGCAACTTCTTCGTCATTCTCCTGCAGAAAGGAGGAACTATTCGTACTGTGGCACTGCGATTTAGTTTCTCCCATGCCCCAGACACCCGACAGGTATACCATAACCGCTAACTATAGTTCGACAAACAAGACTCAAACCAAAACAAATTATTTACTCGATTTCTACTTTTGTGTATCTCTTCAATACGTTTCGCACCCATTTAATGTCACCGAATAACTTTCCTAATACATACTTTTTCAATGCTTTACCATATTTAACCGTTAAACATTATTACCGATAAATGTAAAACAAACTCCAAACCGTTAATAATGTTCTTGCACAGTCGATTTTTCCTATGTAGCAACACACAACACGGAAAAAAAAATACCGCGGTATACAATACTACGAGATCAGCTGTGCAACGACTGGGATGCAAATTCTTCTTCCGAAGGGCATGTGGAAGTTAGGTAAGTTTCGGGAGAAAATACGACATCTAGCGATAAAATGGTTAAATACATCATAGAGGCTATCACCTTTAAACACAATATGACGCTTCAGATTTACCGTTAGCTATGTCCAATTACTGCATAAATTACAGAATTATCAGTTCTATCAAATAATAATGTAATAATGAAATGAACATATACAAAATGTGTATTACAATTTGATTACGACGTAAATTAACAACGTCATTCGTAGTTAAATTATAGGAGTATTAAAATCGAAATTACGAAATTACAATTATTTGATTAACTCTGTTACGACCTGTTTAATTATGATATTATATACCTTCGAATATACACGTATATGCATTTAACCAACAATTCGATTTGTAAACACGCTTATCTTGTTTAAAGTTTCCGCGGGCTTCATTTATGCATGAACTACATGTAAGTACATAGTGTGTGCATAAACACATTTATTTCTTCGGTTCTTCTATGGATACCAACAGACGCATACGCAAATAAAAAAATGTACAGGTATTGCGTCAAGGTTGATGAATGTAGCGAAGTCTAATTTGAAATAAATATTTTAAATTTCATTTTATACATGTTACAATCAAATTAAATGTGACAATTTTTCAAACATGTTCTTGAGATTGAATAATATTACTACTGTTCAAAGAACCGGGTTTAAATACGTAACTATAAAAGAATATAATCGAAAGGTTAACTTTCTTTCAACATTTAATATATTTTGTATAATACATGTTTTATATCATGTGTACATCATGAAATCGATTACAGGCTTCCAAAACTGATTATCCAAAAAGAATATTTTCTGGAATTCAACCTACTGGAAACTTGCATTTGGGAAATTACCTTGGTGCTATACACAAATGGACACAATTACAAGATAATGGAGAAAATGTTGTTTTTAGCATTGTAGATATGCACTCCATTACTTTACCACATGTAAGAACTCACTGAATTTGTAGTGATAATGATTATTGGTATTAACGAAACACTTAGTGGAAATTAACTACTGTTTATACAACGCGAATTTTCGCGTTAAAAATTTTCGTTTTCGTAGAAAAAAATAAAAAAACACGAATGTAGATTTATCAGGAGTAAATATCCTAGGATCCCAAAGAGTTGAATGATAATGTACTAAAAATGACGGCAACATTATTAGCATGTGGTATTGACCCAAAGAAGAGTATACTATTTCAACAGTCTACCATAGCTATGCACGTGCAACTTTGTTGGGTATTAGGATGTATAACCACTTTGGCAAGATTAGGGCATTTACCTCAGTTCAAAGAAAAAAGTCAAACATTAAAAAATGTTCCTCTGGGTTTGTACATTTATCCTGTTCTACAAGCTGCTGATATATTATTATACAAGTAAGTATTTCATCTCCAACATTAGTGAGTAGTAACATATCAATTAACACTATCCCAAGGAAACAAGTACATTTAACTTATATTGTAGAGCAACACATGTTCCAGTTGGACAAGATCAAGTTCAACACATTCAGTTAGCGCAAGATTTAGCTTTTAAATTCAACAGAACATATGGAGACACCTTTCCTATGCCACGTTCTTTAGTTAATGGTGAAAAGCTATATTTTCCTATTACTCGGAAATAAATCTCTTCAAATGTACAATTTAATATTTGTGCAAACAGATTTCTAATGGAATATTGCGTGTCGTAGAAAATGCAAGCCAACGAATAAAATCGCTTCGTGATCCTTCAAAAAAGATGTCGAAATCGAGCAAAGATTCAAAGAGCAGATTAGATATATTGGATAGACCTGACGAATTGATGGAGAAAATTAAGAAGGCTGTTACAGATTGTACATCGGAAGTAACTTATGAACCAGAAGAACGACCTGGAGTCGCGAATCTAATTTCTATCCATTCGATGCTTACCGGAAAATCGCCGGATCAAATATGCTCTGAAGTAGAAGGGTTAAACACTGGAAAGTACGCTAAAATATCATAAGGGATTCGATATTTGCCCTTACAGGGTGATTAGATTGGATAGATTCTATAGTGTTACTGTTGTATTATATTTTTATTTGTACAATGCAGGTATAAGTTGGTAGTAGCGGATTTAGTTATAGAAAAATTGACTCCGATTCGTGAAGAATTTTCAAGATTAATCAAGGAACCGGCTTATTTACAAGAGGTCTTAAAGAACGGTAGAGAAAAAGCAACGGAAATTGCTAGCGACTGCTGGTATGAGGTTCAACATAAAATTGGTTTTGAAAATGATATTCCAAATATGTATGAAAAACCTGTACAAAGTATAATGTAAAATAAACATTTATTTAGATATAAACTGTGTACTTGTTTCATTAAATAATGAAATTCTTCTAGAATACAATATTTTGATTCGTTAATCTTTTTGCGTGAACTTTTGCCGCTAGCATTATTTCATATCGATAACTAATTTACCTCTTAGGTGACCTTGAGCTACTCTATCGTATGCTAACGGTAAATCTTGAAATTTGTATACCTTTTTAACCACAGGAACTACCTGAACATAGTAAAAAGTTGGTTACACACCATATACAATCAGAATGAATGAATATTACCAGTATAGCTATGGATACCACCTCCCTACTTTCGACGAATTCTTGAAGAGCTTTGATTCCAGTTTGTGAAGGTGCAAAAAATCCCCACTTTACTGTACTTTTATTTTCAACAATTGGGATGTTATATTTTACCAATTCTCCTATATTTTTGACCATTCCAGCAATCAGTCCATGTTGATCAACATTTTTTAGTAATGGAGAATTCAATGTTATGTAAGTGCAGTGTGGATAACCCTTTGATCGTATCTGATTTGGTCCCTGATTGGCACAATCCAATATTATGTTGTAGCTAAGTTGTAAAAGTGAGTAAGATCCAGATCAAAGTATACAGTTCCTTTCAAATGGGACAAATTGATAAGGAAATTACTCACGGTCCTTCAGTAATAATTTTTGAATCAGCACCATCCAATTTATAATCAATTACAACATCAGCTCCTAGCTTTTGTACTAGATTTACAGCATCACTGCTGCACGTGGTAATAACCTAAACCACAGTTTGACTTATGCTTTAGGACCATACACAATGATTAAGCAATATTGATCAGACAAGTGGCGTACATGCATATTCCAAGCCTTTAAAAGTTGTATCGCCAAAGTACCAACACCTCCTGACCCACCTAATACTAGAACTCTGTTATTCCTTCTTGTGGCCATTGTATTTTTATAACACAATCCTCCAGTAATCCACAATGCAGACCATGCTGTGAGGCCAGCATACAATATGCTAGCTGCTTCAATGTACGATAAATTTTGAGGACGTATACTGACCTATAGGTGAATCAGTACTTACTTGATATATTTGTTAGACCATTGGCCATTTAAGCAAATTGGTAATACTACTTACTAGACTATTATCAACAACTGCATAATTAGCATGACAACCTTGTTGTTCTACAGGAACTACACCCCATACTTTGTCACCTAACTTTAATCTATCACCAGCACCGTGTCCTTTGGAAACTATTACACCAGAAAAATCTCTGCCTAAAGTTAATGGCAATTCCAGTTCGTCGTACTGTCTCCCAGTAAAACTTTTTGTTTTCCTCATAAAGTTTAAAACTGCTGCACCATACCCTCCTAATATAAAATATTCGTATCTAAGATATTGAATGTTAAAAGTTTAAAGCATAAAAAAAGTGCAATTGGTAAGAAACATCGCGTACTTGTCATAGCGATATCTATCGGATTTACACTGGATGCTTCAATTTTGACAAGAATGTCCGTTGGCCTAGCAATCACTGGAATTCTAACACTTGAAAGTTTCAGTTCATCTAAGCCACCATACGAATGAATCTGCCAGGCTTGCATTTTGTCGTCAATATTTTCTTTATGCTTTACCGATAGATTACTAAGAAAACGTGATTGCCTACTCCCAACATTTAAGTTAACGTTTAACGCTAGTCTTTTTAACATTGTTTCAAATCGAATTTCAACGGTTGAACCACTGAAGTATGTGAAATTTCACCAAGTAGGTTAGGTTTAAAAGATTCGTAATTTAATTTATAAGACTATCGAAAGCAGTATAGCCTTTAAGAATTTCGACAACGTTCATTTGCAAATTTTTTACTAAAAATAATGAAAGAAATGTACAATTTGAACCATTCAATTTAAACGTTTTTTCGTAACAGAATCATTTGAATAAACTTTTCCATGTGTACAAGACAAATTGAACGTTCTTATTGTATAGTATCTTTTTTTTTTCGATCGCTTGTACACACATATGTATTTATGTATGAGACTAGTTACATGTACACATCTAAAATAAACGTTCACTGCGAATATATTTGTAATAATAATTATAATTATAAGTAAAAAGTACAATCTATATCGATCTCTTTTTACGATGTGTCGTTTTAAGCGTTTTCAATTTGTACCACACATTGAATTTCACTATCTGAAGCTTAGACGTTCTGTTAACCGAGGGACAGAGCGGTGGCAATTACGAAACGCGGATTGCGCGGTATAAAAAATATTTGAAATATTTGAAAGTTTCGAAAGGATGAGGGATGGACTAGAAACTATTCGAAACTTTTTACTCATGACACACGTTTCATTATCCCGAATCAGACAGCCGCTGTACCATCACGTGACTCAAGAGAAAAGCACGTATTGGTCAGCGCAGAAATTTCCCGTTAAAAAAAATATACGCGTGTTGCATTAAACGAAACTTGTTGTTGTTGTTGTTGTTTTGAATTTACCGGTATCGACGGCTGTTGGTCATTAGCCGGGACGAAACTTGTGAAATTGACATATTCAACTTTATCTAAAGTTACGATTTAGATTTATAAAGCATCAGAATTCGTTCATGCGTACTCGTCGAATTCGATTAATCGAAAATTAGAGTTTAATTCTTCGAACCGGCGAATGAGATAGCTTTAAGAAGGAGCTTTACACGAAAATGTTTCTCCAAGAGTAAAGAAGTTTAAGGTAAAGAGGTTTGGGTGGTCCGTGATGGGGGTGCAAGAAACGAAGTGACGGAGTAAAAAACCGACGAAGAACGAGAATGGGAAAGTTGATAAGGTAAAAATTGAAGGATTGATGCAGTAGTTTTACGGGTCGGTTGAATGGTTTATACGCGGCGATTGTAAGCGGTATCGCACATTAAAATATGCGCATGGATCATCGGAGATGTAGTTTCGTTCGTCTTCGTTACAAATGATACGAGCGAGGGTGGTTCTCTCGTTTTACGAGTAAATGCAACTACGCGCATGCCTCTTATCGATCGCTAATCACTATGGTTACGCCTCGGTATAGAGGCACGACAGCGACTACGACGGCGACGAGGACGGCGACGACGAAGACGGCGACGACGACGACGGCGACGGCGACAACGACGGTGACAGCGTTCACCCCGTACTCGTTTCACGGTGAGTTTAACGAAAGATCGTACGGTTCGATTCGTAGTAAGTGTATATAGCAGCCCCTGATGAACGGAATTGCAAGAAAAAGGAAAAGAGAAGTGGCAAAGAACGATTAAAAACGGTGGTGATGAAAAGAAAAACTGAAAGAAGTGAGGATTCCTATCCGAATATTCGGATAAGATACGAAAGTGAAATAGAAGAAAGATGGTGTCTGATAAACTGTAAATTTTCGTAAAGAAAAAAATAACATCCCGTTCCTCGTGTGTGACATTCCTGATTTTCTCGCAAGAGAAAGGACAAAGTGGGGGAGAGAAAGGCAATCGGAGAAAACGGTCTGGGAGAGGGAGAAAAGGGTGAGACGTACAAGTAAGCTGACAGAGATAAAAAGAGAAGGAATTTCGCGATGGGTGAAGCAGAGGGAGGGGGCGAGGGGTGGGTGAAGTGACAAAAGAGGAAAAAATAAAGGGGGCGAAGGAACAGGTGAGGAGTGAGGAGTGAGGGTGGCGAGGGTGTGGGCGGTCGGTCGGTCGGTGGGGTTGGGCGGGGAATGGAAAACGCATACAGGGCTGTTCAGAGTAACATGGAGCGCATCGCGGGCGCAGCGAGAGAGGATATTGACATTTTCGGTCGAGGGGCGCGCATTCGTGGAAGAAGGGGTGGTGGTGGTGGGTAACGGGGCAGTCGCCTCTTTTGCCCGATCCTGCAGTATCCATGGCTACGTCGTCCGCGAGGATTTCGCGCGAAATACCGGATATATCGGCCGCGTGATCTTTCATTACGGATATTCTGACAGTGCCGATTCTCAGGTGTTTCGTGACGGACGCAGGTCTCTTCAAGTGGCAAAACTATCTGATAGTTTCGTCGTGCCCGCGACAGGTGATCTCGCCTGTAAATTATTCGCTTGTCGGAAAGGGTGGATACCGTGATCTCGCACCCCTCCACTACAACCACGGTAGCCCATCCCTTCTTTGATCCCGTACCTAACCCCTTCCTACCCACACTCGTTCATCGTTCTATCTCTTACCACCCCCACATACCCTATTCTTTTCTCTCTCTCTCTCTCTCTCTGTCTCTCCCTTCTCTCCCTCCCCTCCTCCTCACCGTTTCATCCCGCTTCCGCCTTCTTCTTTTACCGTGTTACGTAGCGTCCTGACACAACAGGGTAGAGGAACGTTCAACGCCTTAAAACTATCGCGACGATATCCTCCGCTGTGGCGTGGCGAGGCGAATCGCCAACGGTGAGTTTCACTTCTCGTGACAGCTACCGAAATCCGTCGTACGAAACGAGTAGCAGGCGAACGAGCGAATAAGAGGATACCATCGTATAGAGGTGGATGAGTATCGTAGAGAAAGAGATGGGAAGTGGGATATAGGGCGGCGGGAGGGAGGGAGGGAGAGAGGGTGGAAAGGAGGGAGAGAGAGAGAGAGAGAGGAACGGTAAAGAACGAAAAGGAAGAAATAGAGAGGAAGATGAAGGAATATAAATAACGCCAACGTTAGTGGATGAAACGATGTAATAAGGGTGTACGAAAGGGTGTTTAGTAAACGAGAAACGTTTAAACACGATACTGAATGAACGAATCTCTTTTCTCGGAAGTAAAGGGGGGTAGTAAAAGGGCGTTGATTGAGCAGCAGGCACAGTGAGTGGTAGTGCATATCCTGGCTGGTGCAGTGTTTACTCGAGCGCCAGGGTGAGGTATAGGTGGTATACCTTGGACTAGGCGCGGTGTTGGTTTCTCGTCGTATTCGTTTTCGCCTCGATAACACAAGTATACGTATAATCATCGTCACAGTGTCGTGTGCTGTTCATCGTCAGTTGCATAACGATTGGGGCGACAGAATTCGGGAAACTCCGAAATTTCTAGTGAGAACTGCAGTGTTTAGCAAATTGAGCTACGTTTAAACGTTCCTCCGATAAAAAAGAGATCCTCCTAACGTTCTATCTATACAGTTTGAAACGATTCGAACGCTGTTTTCGAAACAGATTTCTGTCAATAGTTGCGATAGAATGGAACTTTTCACGGTACCCGTTGCGTTCTCGCAGGTTGCGTAGTTGGTGTTTTGCAAAACTGATAATTCAAATATAGAATATGTAACGCAGAGTAACGTAAGAATATTATACACGTATAGTCGGTGTAAAGTCGGCATCGGTTCAGTAACCCTCCCGGCGACGCCACCCCTATTATTATCCGTGACTCCGTGACACATCCACGCAACGCTTTGTTTCGCTTCATTGACCTCACTAATGTCTGTGCCATCGTATGACACTACGATTAGATTTTTCCACTTGTTCGAAAGAATTTTCAGTTGAAAAGTAGAAGGAAAGTTGAACGTAAGGTTTAACTCGTGCAGGAGGTACCCCTTCCTCCGTCAAGTAGATGTTCTGTTGCCTAATAGAGATCTTGAAACATTATCAATTTTTACTAATCTCATCCATAAAATCATATACTCGTAATTGTTATGTCTCTCTCTATCTCTCTCTCTCTCCATTTCTGACACTAAAAGTCAGAGAGAAAGAGAGGGAGAGAGAGAGAGAGAGAGAGAGTGACGTATATATACGTCTTGTGTATAAAAAGGGAAGTACAGTAGACAATTTCTCGACTAACAGCATGTAATTATTACATTTTCAGCGATCATGTCAGGAACAAGCTGATAAACTTTCGAACACCTGCAATGATGTGACAATAAAGATATCTTCTCCTACATTCTCTCTTATATCACGGGGTATCGTCCCCGTTATACAGTGCTTCCCAAAAATAGAACAAGAGAAGGAAATAAAATTAATCATCGGTTCAATCGGTGATTAATGAAAACGGTGCCAAACACGTCGACAGACAAGCCAATCAAATTGAATCATACACAGCGTCCCGATTGCTCCCGCTGAACATCGACAGAATTAAGGAACGGTGAGAAGGAGAGAAGTAAGAATAGTAACGAAACGAGAGATTTAATTGCTGGCGTGATACGCACACGGAACACGTTCTTCACGTAGAAACTGACGGTAAAGAGATCGAGAGTCTGAGAGACGAAGAGAAAAAGGAAGAGAGAGAGAGAGAGTGAGGAAACGAAAGGAGAGGCGGTGGTGTGTAAAGTAGCGAAGGATCACAGGTGGTATAAGAGAGTAAAACAAGAATAGAATGGGCAATAAGCTGTCTTGCAGTTGTGCTCCTCTTATCAGAAAGGCGTATCGTTACGAAGATTCACCATGGCAGGCTGGCGCGAGGGGCGGAATGAGCGTCAGCGGAGGTCGCAGGGGTGACACTGGCCACTTGCTCAGGTGCGGAAGCTTAAGAGAAAGGAAGAGGTGCGCATACCATACCATACCATTCAACCACGCTCCATTCGACTCCATTATTGGCCTCTTTTTGATTTTTTTGACAAGGCTGTCTATCTTTACCCCTGCTCACACAAACAGAGATCCGCGTGTGCCCACATACATATGTACATATTTGCACCGTGATTTCTTTTCTTTCCTCAGGTAGAACATACTCGTTCGAATAAAGTTTCATCAGATGGTCGAAAGATACTCGAATTGTACTTACTGGTCTACCAGCAAAACTATTTATACTACTAGCAAACGTTCAATTAAAGACTGTTCTACCTGACGATCATACAGCTCTATTTCCTTTCTTCTCCTCTTCGTTTCCTCGTTCCTTTCTATCGCGTTTGTATATTCCTTTATTTGCTGCTTCTCTCCTCTTTCCTTTAACTACTTCACTTTTCCTTCCTCTCTCTCTCTCTCTCTCTCTCTCTCTCTATTCTATTTTTTGATATCCTGTACACATTCTATCTCACTTATTCCCGATCCTCCTTCCATCATTTGTTCGACATGTCGTTCATTCTTTAAGCTTCTAATAATCCAATTAACCGTACTATGTTGCTCTCTTCAAAGCTGATGACGGAATATACGGTAGAATGTTGAACATTTTTTCTTTCACTTTTTTTTTGAGTTTGCACAATCTGATGCTAAATCTTTGAGAAATAAAAGCTTCTCTTTGTGTGTACATTTGAAGTATATCCTGTGATCGGCGACTCGTTTCTACAGTCAAGTGTATGTTTGAAATTGCAAACTCTGATATAATTCCGGAATTGCTTGGGAAATTGCAAGCATACACGTTCCATTGAAACACTAACGTCTTACTCTGCCATACACGTACGTTTCCTCTTCTTGGATACGCGTATCTAACGCAAGATATAATTTCGTTCGTTACTTTTCTTTCTTCTTCGCATGTCTCTGATACTTCACTCGACTCTTTACTCTTACGTTAGTCTAGTCAAATTAGAATCACATTGCACGAACGTTGCAATTTTGTACATCGAAGAGCAAATACATACGTGCGTAACAATGTTGCACAAGTTACCGCAGAATAGAGTGGGTTACATGTAAGTTCAGCGTATAGGAAATGTATCACGCGATGGCTGATATTCTTTGCAAGTTGAAAGTAACGAATTAACGAGGACAAGTAGGAGAAAAAAGTAAAAAGAAAAAAAAAAGAAGAAAGAAAGAGAAAAAATTCTTCTCCCGATCATTTTCCTGCGTTTCTTTTTCATTTTGCGAATTGTTTCATCGAACGATTTGTAAATCTACCTTTATACATATGTATTTCGTATATTCGTGCAATATACCTGTATGCAAGAAAAAAGAAACGCAGATGAAGATGAAAAGGAGGAAACAAAGGGGAAAAGAGTGGTGTAGTGGGAGAAATAAGAAGAAGAAGAAGCAAAAAGAAGAAGAGGAAATAGGAGAAGAGTAGAAAACGTTCGAACTATGAAAGACTTGAACGATGAATAACATTGAAAATTGAAACATACGTTCCCCCTTGCGTTTAAACGATCTTTTTCTAGTTTCCCTTTAGTATTAATCTCCTCGATGTAACATCGATGTTGACATCGATGAAACATCGATGCAAACAATGTCCATAACGCAACGTACAATTCAGCGATGAACATTTTTAGACTATGGGCCGAAGTATTCCACGTAAGCGCCAGTGGGGCTGGAACCGTAAAGTGGCAGCAGGTCTCCGAAGATTTAGTTCCTGTAAATATCACGTGCATTCAAGATTCGCCAGAATGCATTTTCCACATTACCGCGTACAACAGTCAGGTCGACAAAATTTTAGACGTTCGACTGGTTCAACCGGGTAAGATGATCGTTTCGTTTCTTCGTACGCACATCTTGCGACATCAGGGGTGAAAAAAAAAAAGGAAAAAGAGAAATAAAAATGCGACAGATAGAGAAGAAAGGGTGAAGCATTGGTTTCATTGGTTTCAACACTGTTTCAGGAACACGTATCGGACAAGCGTCAGATTGTTTCGTCTATTGGAAAGATACGATGACCAACGATACATGGGGATTGAATTTCACATCTCCGATAGATGCTAAACAATTCAGAGAATGTTGCGTAAGTTCACGTATCACGCATAACTTGTTCATATCACACCACGCGTGGAATAATTAACATCGAGACTTACCCCCTAAGTTTTCCCCCTGATTTACGGGGGAGAAATCAGGGAGAGAACGGGTACGAACAACCAGACATCGAGCATTATTTCGAACGATGTTTTTTTGTTTTTTTTTTTGTCGTTAAACTTCGCCTCCTCGTTCTATCGTAAATCGAGGCTTTTGAGCATCGTACGGATATCCTCGGTGGAAGAACGTTTCGAAAATGAGAAAACCGAGGAAACGAGAGAGAGAGGGAGAGAGAGAGAAATGTTTTCCGCGATTTCGAATCGGGTCTCATATTCGCATTCTCTGTCACTTGTTCATTTTTCGCACAGTCACCGTCGTTGAAGATTTCAAGGAAAGCGTCCTCTTCTTACTCGTTGAAGCTCGAACCACCTAACAAACAAAAGATCAAACCACGGAGAAAACCGTTGTCGACACCGGCATCACCGAGTAGATCCAGGGAGCCGCAATGCACATGCATGACTCCGGAACAGCTCGCCCGATTTCGAAATCAAGAAGTGAAATTCCGAGGATTCTGCGGTACGATGTATTAAACGTTAACGCGGTAATGCCAAACAATATATCACGCTACTTATTATACATTTCACACATCATACTGTCTGTCCCGGATACCTTACCGTTTCTTTCACCTTTGCGTCTTCTCTTTTTTTCTGCCGTACACAGGTACCGCGACGCTTCCGCGGACAATGGCACGCTCGACGGAAATGGAAATGACACCAGGTCGTGACAAAATAACAGCGGCAACGTCCAGCGCGTCTCTCTACGATAACGTGAACAACGCGACGAACGTGAACGTAACGCCGGGTAAAACATCGAAAACCGGCGGCGGCGGTGAATCGAAGCAGCAAAAGGAGAAACAGAACGAAACCTGTCAGACAACACCAAAGACGGCGAACGTGGGCATCGAGACGGTCACCGTTGGATCACAGGCAAGTTTACAGCGGGCAAATGTAACGCGAGTTAATCTCGAACCTCGACGAGTGGTGACTTTTTTTTTCTTCTTCTTATTTCGATCGAGGAACCACGCACGAACGGTTGAAAAACTGAAGGGTGAACGAAATTACAGATCGACAGCCCGGAGGAGAAAGGTCTCGCCTCGGTCTCACCTTCGAAGAAATCACAGAAACAAAGCCAAGACACGTCTACCCAACAGAACGCCGGTGAAATGTTGAAATCAGAGGGTACACAGGCCGGTGGCACGTTACAGAACAAATGCTTGCGAAAGGAGCAATTACATCATACGAAGTCGGCCGATTACACAGACCTGGAGATGCAAAATGGGAATATATTCAATATAGTGAATAACAATCACAGCGGGAAGAAATCAAAGAGCAAGAGCACGGATGACATGAGGATCGAGAATGCGCAAAACGGTGGGATTAGCTTAGATTCGAATACTCTGAAACGAATGCTGAAACCTATGTCGAGTATCGATAGTCCCGTTACATCACCCGAAATGACCAGAAAGAGGCATAACCATCATAGTTATCATTATCATCCGAGCAATAATAATCAGAAGTACGTTATGCAAGAAGCTGAAAATGAAAATTACGCGCATCCATATCGAGCACCGTATAATAACAAGTTCCAGGCATCTAGAAACGTACACAACATTGGACGCCAATATACCACCGGTACATATCATCATGATCATCATTCATCATCGTTGTCGCCGTCGTCATCACCGCGAATCCATATTATGCTATTCGATATTATGCATCCTTTTCTTCCGATTTCTTGCATACGAACCCATCAATTTTCTTATTCAACGACACACTTTTCTTCCACTTACTACACCCAAGCACACTTTTCCTTTTCACGCACTTACCATACACATACGTACACGCCTAACATACTCAAGTGCGTAAGTACTATCATAATTACTACGAGAGACTAGAATCTAGCTCTCGGTGATTCTTTTTCATTTACCCTTCACCGACTCTGCCTATTTCTCTTCTTTTTTTTTAACACTTCCTCTTCGACTTGCGTTGCACAAGGACGACTAAACAACGAGAACGATAATGAAATAAGGAAAGGGAGTTACCTTCACCAGATTCCACAGTGCGATAATTGTGTTATCAATTTAATCGCGTATAACAGAGAAAGCGGTGCAATGATAATTGCTCTCGAGTTGAAGGCGTGTGTGCTCATGAGCATCCCTGTTTTCAAGAGTAAACATTTCTACGAGAGATGATAATATTCGTTCAAATTTGACGTACATAGACACGCTACGTTTATCTTTCGTCGTAAAATCACTTGTTCAATCTTTAATCTTCAAGTTTAATCCTCGGTCGTAATTAAGAGAAACGCGTGTGAATTTCCTAGTCTGCCTGGTGTAATCTTTCGCGGTTATCTAGCCGGTTCCGAACGTTTAAAAAAGGAAAAAGGAAAAAGGAAGGTGTGTCGCATTGTATAATACTCTATAAATAAACAACGGGGTGCGTAGTTGGTTAACAGGGATGCATAGCGCATGTCTGCACACGTCAAGTCGAAGCAACCTGAACACGCAACATAGTAACGATTCACGGCTAAGTACTTACCTCCCTTCGACAACCTCGCGAATATAAAATCATCAGGCGCGCACATCTGTCAATTCCTGCATGATACAGCAGCGTAACTGTTTGTCGTAGGCGGCAGAGGCAGGACCTATTTAGATTCGGAACGTAATCGGTGCACAGGTGATATGTCGCCGCCATCGGATAATGTCATCTTTGACAATCAGTGCTACGCTACTACGCCGAGTTCGTCGAATGGAAACTCGGATATGGAACAACAACCGATTCACTGCAATTCCCGTCATTGTAACGGCGGCCAGACATATCAGCAACAACAAAACATGCAATCCATTTCAACACCCGGCAGTCCTACCAGCAGACTTCTTCTCGAGTACGAGATGCATTTGAGGAACACGTTGGCCAAGGGTATGGACGCTGAGAGCTACAGTTTGCGTACATTCGAGGCATTGTTAACGAAAAGTATGGAAAATTTGGGTAAGTTTTTTGGGTAACTCCTTGCGATGCACATTACGTTTCATCCACTTTACAGTATCCTTCTTCCTCCTTCTTATCCTTTGGTCTCTAGGGTAATTTCGGCAGAATTTATTTTTTCCATTATCCGTCAGATATGGAACAAAAAACACCGAGAGCCACGCTCGATCGCTTTCCGTAAAACAAATGTAAAACAAAAGAATACTGACGCGTTTCACATATGGCAGATAATGTAGGAGATACTTGCCTGGTCCGTCTCTCCCACCGGTCCATCTCTCCCGGAATTACCCTCTTTCTTTCCTTTTCTCTCTCCCTTTCTCTGTTTCTATTTTTCTCTCTTTTTCTTCGTATACTACATAGAAGAACGTCAACGTTTCAGAATTTGCGGAAAATATACCGCTAAACGTACAACGCACACCTCACGTTTCACGAACACGTAAGTTTTACCACGAGTTTGTAATTTATCGTTACGAAAGTATTCTCTTGTTGAATCACACCCAGCCGAGTATTCTCTTCCCTTTACCATCTATTTCATATATCAAGTACATATGTACGTACACGTATTTCGTCCCGTTGCCATTATCGCTGTATATCGTCTAAGAAAAATGACACTTTTAACCGATCTTCGAAGCAAGAAACTTTCCACTCGTCTTTCGTGTCTATCATATCTTCGATATCCTTCGACAGGTGCTGGTCCGAATAAATCGTCTACATTACCGCTATCGTATCGTTATTGCAACGAAAGGCAGAGCAGCAAGGACAGAGACGGCTACTATAGCGATCGTAATGAAATAATAAGAGAGAAAAGGGACAGAGAAGATCGAGACCGTGGATATCTCAGCGATTATAATTCCAGGTAA